GTGAACAATATTTTCGGTAAAATACACTTTAACGCGAAAGGCGACCCAATAGTGTGTATCATTAGGCATAAAATTACATATCTCGGTATCCTTTCTATCATTTTTAATTATACATGGTATTCCCAGATTGTTAATGACACATACAGCATTAGATTCTCAACTCAGATAAAAAGACAAGTTTCTGCCAATCATTGCGAAAGCCAATCACTGCGTATTATATTTAATATAAATTATTACACTATGCGGAAAAATTGGGCGCGAATGACCCGATTGACCTGCCACCCCCACGGTAAATACAAGTCAGTATTGTGTTGCTGGGTAGTCATATTTCGCGGTATATAGCAAGCGTGTCAGTAACAGTTGGCTTAACCTGCAACGTAAACCGACGAGACATAGCGTATACCACACGTCGATGTCAACAGCAAGATTGTAATGCTGACCAAAAAAATGTGACGAATGTGAAATAGAACGATTGTAAATTGGGACGAATGTGAATTGGGGCGAATTGACTGTGAATCTCAACAACATGGGGCTAGTCATGGGGCTAGTCACAATACTCTTGTGTAAAAACAAACAACTTGTGTACAAATGCACCCCAGGTTTTCCAAACCAGTGGCAATTTAACATTAGCATGGGAATCACTATTTTACCAGTGATATAGGAATACAATCTCAAGGGCCTTGACTAAATCAGTGTACTTACCTTTTGCAACCATCTCATAGAAATGAGTCATCGTTCATCGTCAAGCAAGAAGATTGTGGTCTTTCGGAAACACTGTTGCCACAATAAGTATACCACAATGAAACAGCACTTTAATAAACTACTGTGAAATACTTTATTTTAGCTGGAATTAATTTTCGCTGAAAAGACTTTATTGGTGTTTTGTATGGAATATATTTTCACTGATTTTTGAGAAGTTGAATGTAAAGTATAGGAAAAAAGGTATATTCGCTGGATTTTATTTTCACTGAATCATTCCTTCAGCGAAAATAGAGAAAATTAATTCCAAGCGAAAATAAAGTATTTTACAGTACTTATGTCATGACCTTCAGCCTTACATCTTTAATAATAAACC